CCGCGGCCCTGCCGGGGATCGCCAGCGCCTCGCCGGGCGTTCCCCTCCCGCCACCGCCCTGCCCTGCCTTGCCCTGCCCTGCCCAGCCTGAGGGCGGCCGGCTCGTCTCCCGAGAAACTTTTTCCGCCGCGGAGCAAGGATGGAGGCCGCCGGGATGGATTATTTCTGCGACCAGGTGCAGCAGAAGGACGTGGGCCGCAGGATGCAGGTCGGGCAGGAGCTGCTGGAGTACCTGGGCGACCCGGAGAGGTCCCCCGACGTGGAGCAGGACCAGCAGCGCCTTGACAAAGTGATCGACGAATTAACGGGATGGGTCAACTCTAGCAATTTTAAGGTGAGGTTGATCGGCGGGGCTGGGTGCCGGAACACCATGATTCATCATCGTAGGGAGGTACAGACCTCCGGGTGATTTGTTTTTAATCAGATACGAGTAGAAACAAAACTGCATTTATGTTAATTTTTTAATCCCTCCTCCTACGAAGGGAAATTCCGAAATTTTAGGAGGGGCTGGTTAACATTGTCTTGTTTCTCTTTCTCTCTTCTTAAAGAAATAGTGGGTTCGTTTTTGTATCACTTTTACCGTAGGTGAAACGTTTTTTGCACAAAAGCGTTAACCACCCCCTTCCCTCCCCGCAACTGTTCTGCATGCCCGGATTGTGGTTTTTATTCTGAAACAGGATAGGTGATGATTTTATTTCTTATTTTTTGTTTACTACTGCTCCCATTCCATGGTCTCTGCACTTGGGATTTCACGAGATTGCCATTATTTCCTGTAGGCCGTAAGGACTGATGATGTTTTACCTGGTTTGTGTGACACCGTGGGTGTTTCATGCGATTTAATGAATGGTTTGCTTCTTGGGGTTCCCGTTGGAAGTTTAAAGTTGTTGTTACCGTCTTTGGGTGACTTGCTTGTACGTCGGAAGTTGTGTAGTATCTTTATAGCAACCCAATGATGACTCATGTTTTGTGTTTGGCTTGGTTTGGTTTTCTTTTAGTGCGTTTTAGGCAGGGCTACAGGAAAACGGCGATTGCTCCCGCACACGTCTGTTGTAAAAACGCGTTCATTTATCTGGAGCTGGTTAGCCCATCACGCAGTTGGCAAACGTAATTTTGCTCCTTAGGACAGTCGTGTTCGCCTTAGCGATTTTCAGGTTTGTTTATTTCACGTTGTTTCTCGTGCCGCGTGCGGCCGGGGCCGGTCCGCGCTGCCGCCGTCGGGTGGCGATGTGGCTCTGCCGTCCCGGGCTCGGCTCCTCCGGCCCGGCCAGATCCGCCCTTCCCTCGGCCCTCGGCCCCTCGCTTCTCTGCCTTGTCCTGCCAGGCGATCGGCTTCCACTTCGGGCCTTGGAGCTTAGTGTAGCGAGGTGGTTGTAGTTGTTTCTGCTTGCTTAGAGCCGGGAGGTCGGGAGTGACTCGTCAATGTGTTCATGAAATGGGTGGTGTGGGGTTTTTTTGTCCTCCCTTGGCTTGACGGTGCTGTGTGCTTGTCAGTGTTTGCACGCAGCACTTCTGGGCTGGACTTTCCAAAATCGTAAGGCTTATCTCTGTTTGCGCATGTTTGGGTTTTTTTTAAAGCGTGTTTTTCCTTAAAGGTCAGGTTAGCTTGAGGAAATAACTGGACAAGTGTGATTGATTTGCGTTTAAATTCCTAATCTGCGGGCGGTTGGTGGTAATTGCTTATTGTGAAACCTAGACAGGTCTTTAAATACCCTTTTGTGTGAAGAGTACTGGGTGCTTATCTCAAGAGTAACGTAGAAGGGTTTTTTTTTCCTGTACTTTTACATTGACAAAATGGGGAGTTAATCCTTGAAAGGTGCTTCTCAAGATCTATTTTTTCATAACGTAAGAGATTCCACTTGCTGTCGATGTTAGGTGACAGAACTCTTGGCTGTTAGGATTGTAGGACAAACGAGGTACTCGAGATCACAAGCCTCGGTCATACAAGATGAGGCCAAATATTAAAAATTCGGAGAGTTTTGAAAATAGCTTCCATAATGCCTTTTCTCTATGTCCACTTACTGGTGGCTCTTTATACATACAGCATTCTGTTTCAGAGCATGTTACATACTTTGTATTAATGACAAAAGCAGATCTCGGGTGTTTTGCTGATGATCGATTCCAGTGTTGCTGGCTGTGGTGGTGACTACCAACATCTGCTGCTTCAAAATAAAATTTGAGAGTGTTTCGGAAAGCTATGGTTTGGATCTTTTGTATTTTATCTAATGCAGGCGTAGATGGTACATGTTTAAATGTTAAATCTTAGTTTCTTGTTAAACGCAGGGCATGACTTGTAGCATAAAGTAAACAATACAACAGGCTTACATGTATTCTCAAGAAAAATATTAAAGTCATTTTATTTTATTACCATAATTTTATTGATTTGTTGGTCAGCTTTTCCTCTACTGAAGAACGATTATGTAGTATAGCACTTAATTCTGCTTATCATGTCTTTCTTTTTGTATCTGGAGGGTCTTCGAAGTCCCAAAGTAATTAATGCCTCCCTGTTGACATGGCTGTTTAATTGAGCCATGGTAATGGGGGGTAACTGGCTTATTTATCAGAACTGCAGAGCTAGATTAATCGGAGTGACAAATGGGGAATATTGGAGGAAGTTTTGAGGGGAAGCATTATATCCACCCTAGATGTCTGGTATGGATAATGAGGGAGTATCTTACTCAGTTTGTGCAGGCTTTCCTGTGACAGCTCACTTCTGGCATTCAGTGTACTGTGCTGACTGTCCTGAAAGAGAAGATGGATGATCTGGGAGCTCTAGGCTCAACTCAGGGCTGTGCAGAAGAGAAAGCTTTCTATGAAGTGCCATCCTAGGAAGTTTCTGCCTCACATAATTGACGGGAAGGGATCTGAAGGGAAAAGAAAGGTTGATTTGGCAGACTTGGGAGGCAGGGGGGAGAAAGAGAATAGATGTTCAGTAAAGAAGTATGGACCTAGTATCAGCAAGGTTGAATTAGCTTATCTCAGAGAGTCTGGCCATTTAAATAATGCTTTTGCTTTTCTGAAGTTTGCAGCTATTTATGGTGGTTTAATAAACAATCTGATAGTTCCAAGCTAAGAAAGCAGATGGGAAAAATTCCGAGTTGGTCTGGCTCATTTAAGTGGAAAACACAATTACCAGTCTGAGTTACTGATAAATTAAAAAAAAAAAAAAAAGAAAAGAAGAAAAAGAATTAAGAATGTGTTGACGCATCTGTAGGAGTTACAGTGAAAGCTGATTGCAGAACACCAGGAGTAACCCTGGAATGAGCTGAGTCACCCTTAAAGGCTGAGCTTAATGATGTGTTGTAGGGACTTCAGTTACAATGTCTGTGCAGTCAGTGATCTATTAGTTTCCAAAGAGCATTGAAAGCTTTGCAGCACCAGGGAGCGAACAAATTATGGGCATAGTTTAAGCTTTTATTTTTGGGTCTCATGAGAATGAAGGAGTTGCTCACTGAACTAAAACTTGTTTGCTTGGTGTCTTGGTACCATCACTGGTTTATTTCTTGCTGTTTGGGACTGACCTTTCTCCTACAGTGCAGAGCTTTGGTTTTGGTGTTTGGGTTTGGTTTTTTTTTTTTGGGGGGGGAGGGGAGGGGCAGGGATGTATTTTGCAAAATGACTGTTTTTCCAAGGCTCTGAGGAGCAGTGGAGGAAAATAAAAATAAGGAGCAGGCAGGTCTTATGTGAAGCTCGGTGATAGTATGATTCTGCTGCTATTTGTTTTCCTCAAACTTGGAAATACTTGTCAGTCTCAGAAAACTGGAACAGTGCTAGTGTTTGAATTCAGATTCTTGGGTGAACTTCAAGCAGTAAATTAATTCTGCATTCTGAGGGTATCACTACTCACAGATAATTTGCTGGCTTTACTGGGTTAACCTGGATTTTCAGCTATGTATATGTGAGTTTTAATACATCTCTTATGTCTTTCTTGCACTCAGTAACCACTTCAAATAATTACAAGATTATGTAACTTTGTACAATCTGGTGGCTCAGACTGTTCTGTGTCTGATTTAAGTAATCTGGAAATCTGCTTTGAACTACAACTAAAGAGATGTGGGATGGAGAAGTGCTACTTTTCAAGTAAAGCTTTACAAGTCTATTCTTGGCTGTTTGCATGTTGTGTTTTGTTAAAATGTGAGTTGTTACTCTCTTAAAATTTGTTTTTTGAGTGATAAAGCCACCTTTTGTTTCTTTTTGCAAATCGCACCTGACTAGAAGTAATGCAAACCTATTATTAAAATTCTGGTAGTTTTTACAAGTATTTTTATGTGAGAATAATTGGTAACATTTGTGACTGACTAATCTTTGGGTTTGTTACCTTTGTAGTTGATACTTTTAATTTGTTTTATTCCCCAATTGCCGTGGGAAGATAATAATTGTTATATTTTTATGTCAGAGCAGCAGATTATGTGGTAAGCAAAGAAAAAATTGGATTTCACACTTTTTGATAGGGTGCATAATCTGCTTCTTTTAGGCAAATCCTGGGAGTTATCTTTTATTATGTATTTCCTGTAGAGTGAGATTTTTCTTAGCTTTGTTTGTCTCAACACCAAGTACTGAAGATACTAAAAAGTCAGTAATGTTATTGTTGGATTTTTGCATTCCCTTGTTTTGGCACGTATTTGTTTTGGTTTCATTAGTTCAACTAAAGGCCACCAGGAGGAGCTTTCAGTTTCCAGAAAGGAAGGGACGAATTTAACTGTAATTTTGCCAATAGTTAAGACAACTAAAATGGGTTAGTTTGAATCTGAAATTTAACTGTAATTTTGCCAATAGTTAAGACAAGTGGTTAGAACATTTTTCTGAAGTCCTTGCAGAGAGACAGCAGAAGTTGTAACTTCGTGGACTGCTTGTAAATGTGTGAGATAAAAGCTAGGATTTAGAACTACTTTAACAAAACAGAGATACTGAGATCTGAAAGACAAAAATGTGGAAGAAATGTGAAGTCCTACAAATCAGGAAGAATAACTGAAAGCACAAATGCAGGATATGGGGCATGTGATTGAGTAGCAGTCCTTAGGAAGAAAATGGGTTAGTTTGAATCTGAAGTTGAACACAAGCCAATATATGCTACACAAACATAGTGTGTTGTAGGACTGTACCCTCTAGGGTAGAAAAATGGAGTAGGAGGACCCACCTCAATCTTTATTTTTCAGTTACTGTGTAGTGTCTGGTACTTCCTTAGTCTTTGATAGTTTCATGTAGTGGTAGTTTTAATGTCTGTGTTGGAGAAGAAATATTCAACTTCTGAGTAATTTCTGATATTAATCCTTTGTTCAAGTTGTTTGTTTCAGATTGGCTATGTGGGAGCTACTTATTTCTATTTTATGAGAATGT